ATATCTGTTTCAATATTCGTTTAGTCAGTTCGTCCATTTATCAAGCAGAAATGACACACAAGTTTTTACAGAATACTGTTTATAATTGTGAATCACCGACACTCACACATACAATTGCTTAGGTACAGGGACAAGCTGAAAAGTAACCTCTTAGCTGCGAATATAAATCACACTACCATTGAGAACATCGTAATTGATCGTGATGAATGGAAGACTACATGCTACAATGGCATCAAGAACAAGGCAGCATCTAACATTGTCAAGCTTCGTCAAACTAGGGAAAGGAATAAAATATCTGCTGCTGTTCCAGCCATATACTCCAAGAATCCACACTCTTGCACAATCTGTGGACTTCTTTGTAAATCACTAGCAGGACTGAAATGTCACATGCGACTCACACACAAGGTTAAATAAACAAAGTTGTCGGAACCTCATACGTCGAAACCGACGGGACAGTCCATCATATATATATATATATATATATATATATATATATATATATATATATATAAATGGCACAAAATGTAAAACTTCTTCAGATAATATTTGTTCCATTAGGGTCGTAAAATCCCATATATATATATATATATATGTGTGTGTGTGTGTGTGTGTGTGTGTGTAAATATATATATATATATATATATACTCGACTCTCCCATCGAATTCGACGTATAAATATCAAGCTTCTCCATTTCTAGGAACCGAAAGCTCGACACCATCACATGAGATTTGATTATAGTGATAAAGGTTTTGTGTAGAATACTCCGCTCTTTTTGAAAGGCCGAATACAGACATCGTTTGCACTACGTGCGGCAAAGTCACCAAACGATTCTCTGCAGAGTTGACCTTCTCCTATACCAGTTTTCCAGACAAGGATAGAGAACCTAATCTGGCCTGCTATTTACCGATAGCTGAAGGGAGAAGAAAAGGCTATTAGCACGTAAGTGAATGTAATTGATTCGACTGGAATTCGAACTCGGCTCTCCGATTTTACAATCCAAGAGGCTATCCAATACCCCACCGAGCATCCATCCCAAATATATATGCTCGAGTGGTTATATCGTTCGCTTTCTGCTCATGAGTTAGAATATCACCGCGCAAAACTTTTCAGGAAGAAGACTTCCTGATGTTATCTGAATTTATCGAGGTCCATCCCATTGTGCGGCATCTTTAGAAACTTCCTGAAAACCATACCACGGGTTGACCCAAGCCATGCGAGTGAAATTGGGTAGACTGATCTCTTGAGGGTCGTCAACAGCTGTGCTAGCACAAAGCCACAATTCATCGTGTCCGAGAACTTGAGCGTGCTGGCCTTGTTCAAATTTTGAATCACGCTAGATAACTCGGTATCTCCCAGAAACTCTAACTATGGACGGCTCAGTTCGTTGCACTATAACACAAAATTGGGCTCTCTGGGTGTTGAGCCAAAACAAATGTGCCTGAGTTAGCGTCTGCAGTAGGGATTGGCTAGCCGCCTTGGTAGACTTGTTTCCTCGAATATGGTTGGCCAGCTATTTATATATATATATATATATATATATATATATATATATATATATATATAGTTTATGAAAAAACTAGGTGATCCGTAAGGAGGATAAAATCCAGAGAGCTCAATGTAAATTCAGAGGAAATAATTTAAATAAAAACAGACCACTTTAAGGTTCGATGTATAAAATCATTTCACCACAGCTCTTTTAAAAGGACTGTGGATCATCAGACTTTATTTCCAAACAAAAAAATGAAAAGAAATTTACACATTTTTGACGGGCCGTATTAAACATATGTAAATTAACGAAGTGAGGAAGTGAGGGAAGAGAGAGAAGAAATGTGTGAGTTAGCAGATATTGACACATTTAAACGGTTAACTTAACGGAAGTTATATATTGAAATCGAAGGGGTAGAGAAGAAAAACCATAGAGAGAAAAAGAGGGAAAGAAGTTAAGAGAGAAGAATATGACACTAATTTTCTTTGTAAAAAAAAGGCTACAAACAGACGCTGTTATTTTGCTTTACTTTGAAAGTGTTATTTTGGGGGTTCATAAAGATTTTAATGTTGGATATAAATTTGAATGTCTCTAAACTGTTTACAAATAATTTAATTTGATGTTTGTTCGTGATTTAAATTTTTTTTTAAATTTTGGGGATTTTCTATGAAATAGTTGATTAGAAAAATATTCATAGAAATTAAATTAAAAGAATAAAATTTTATTTTAAAATATAAGTTTACTTTTAGTAATATTTTTAATCTCTTTAAAAATGTTTATTATTGATTATTAAGTTGACATCTCTATCCGTTGGAATTTTATTCATGAATTTAACTCGTGAATGTTTCTAGATAGGTAATCTCTTTTACTTGAATTTTAGTTAAGTTAATATGGGGTAACTTCATGTATTAACATCTACCTAAATATCAGAATTTTTTTCCAATTTAAGTATTTTATCATCAATAATAATTATTAAACGGTAATATATTTCAATTTAAATTAAATTATCAATTTATAAAATTTTCCTCCATATTATAAAGAATTTTAAACTCACACTTCCAATTGGAGAATATTAAATGTGAAAATGAGATAAAACACTAATAACAGGACTGTAAGTACTTCTTTTATAATATTTTGTGTATCCACAAATATACATCTACACACATATCCGTACACATACACACATACATATACATACATATCCATATATAGGCATATATTCACATACACACACACATATATATATATATATATATATATATATATTTTATATATATTTATATATATATATACTCATACATACACACATACACATGTAGATATATACACACACATATATACATACACATTTACATATACACACATATATACCCACATATATACACACACATATAAATATTTATACATATACATATACACATATGCACACATATATACATATACACATATACACATACACACAAATATACATATACATATATACACCCACATGTGCGTGCATGCAAAAGACATATCAAGATCCATACTTAATTACCCTATTATATATATATTCTACCATATTATGTATATGAACTCACAACTACTTATATTTATACATACATACATACATACACTATCTATGGAACGACATACATGTACACATCTATATATACTCACCCACACTCATACATACATATATAGAAATTATAAAAAATTGTATACATACACATCCACACATATACATGTTCCCACATACCCACTCATACACATATATACACCCATATATACATATAACTACATATATATAAAAAATACCGCTCACCTATATACATACAAGTATGTAGACATAGATATCCGTAACTATACCAACCCACTTCAAAAATGTGCCCAACAATTCACAAAAATAACACATGCATGACTATCTTTCCATATAAACGCATATACATATACATATCAAAAGACGTATCAATGTTCAAGTTCAATTACATAGTTATATACATACAGTTATGTGTTCGCATTTATGTGTGCATAGCAACATTTCCAAAAACAAAAAACCAAGATCATGTAACATTAGTCGTATTATATAGTTATTCCTAAATATATTTAGTTAGATTTAGGTTGTTCTTATGTCGGCATTTAAAAATTAGTTCATTATGTTTGTTTAGTATTAAATCCGGATCTTTATGTTTATTATGAGGATTTTTTTAAGCATAAGTCGCATCTGTCTCTGAAATTTATTGGAGTTCTGGCTCTCGAGATTATCTTCCATTTTATTTGTGTGGTTAAGCCACCATCCAACAACACCCAATAATGCTTTGACAGTGTCGTTTGGTCCTTTTTACATTTATCTTTGAAGGACTGGCGATGCTTATAAAGTCGATGTTTCCAACTTCCCGCCGATATTCCAATGTATATCCTTTTCTGCTCAAAATTCTCTTTGAGAAAATGGTTACCTCACGTTTTCTGCCATGCATATTCCTTCAACTGGACAATGTGATCTCTATGGTTTTTTCTTCTCTACCCTTCGATTTCAATATATAACTTCCGTTAAGTTAACTGTTTAAACGTGTGAATATCTGCTAATTCACTCATGTCTACTCTCTCCCCCTCATTTCCTCAGTTCGTTAATTTACATATGCTTAATACGGCCCGTCAAAAATGTGTAAATTATCTTTTCATTTTTGTTTGGAAGTAAAGTCTGATGATCCACAGTCCTTTTAAAAAGGCTGTGGGGAACCTTGAAGTGGCCTGTTTTTATTCAAATGTTATATATATATATATATATATATATATATATATATATATATATATATATAAAACATTTTTATGTTTATATATTCTTTTTATAGATATAAATATTTAAGTAAATGTTTGTTTATAATAAACAGTATTAAAGAACATTAGTTGGCCTGAATGTCAGTGAAATTTTCACAGAATATATTCGTCCTTTCTGTGAAAATTTCTCGGATATTCAGGCCGGTAAATGTTGTTTAATACTGTTTATTATAAACAGAGCCTTTGCTTACATATTTGTATCTATAAAAAGGATGTATAAACATAAAAATATCTTTTAGAATAATTGTCGGACTTTGTCCATTTGATAAAGTGTGACGTCATATATATATATATATATATATATATATATATATATATATATATATATATATAAAAACCAATGCTCAATACATTACATAAACCAGTGGCACGTCCCTTAAAATACATTCTGTCGTATTTTCCTTAACATAAACGCCAGAAAAATAAATATATAAAATGAGTAAACATATAAAACAGCCCATGAATTTTTCTTTTATTGCAGGCTTAAGCGACAGCATGTTGTCTTGTAATAAACCTTTAGAAACTTTTTTATGAAAACCCACATGTAATAAATCAATTTTAATAATTCTCTGTATAGATATGTGTATTATAAATAGTACATATAAATATATTTATACATTAGGTGTTATTTTTTTACAAATCTTATTAAATATATTTATACATTAGGTGTTATTTTTCTATCAAATCTTATTATTTTAGTCTGTTCATATCTATATATCTATCTATCTATCTATTTTAGTCTGTTCATATCTATCCATCTATATATCTATCTATCTATCTATTTTATCTATCTATCTTTCTATTTTAGTCTGTTCTATCTATATATCTATCTATCTATCTATTTTAGTCTGTTCATATCTATCTTTCTATTTTAGTCTGTTCATATCTATATATCTATCTATCTATCTATTTTAGTCTGTTCATATCTATCTTTCTATTTTAGTCTGTTCATATCTATATATCTATCTATCTCTATCTATTTTTTCTATTTTAGTCTGTTCATATCTATATATCTTCTATCTATTTTTAGTCTGTTCATATCTATGTTCTATTTTATATCTATATATCTATCTATCTATCTATATATATTTTAGTCTGTTCATCTATCTATTTTGTCTGTTCATATCTATATATCTATCTATCTATCTATTTTAGTCTATCTTTGTTCATATCTATCTATCTATTTTAGTCTGTTCATATCTATCTTTCTATTTTAGTCTGTTCATATCTATATATCTATCTATCTATCTATTTTAGTCTGTTCATATCTATCTTTCTATTTTAGTCTGTTCATATCTATATATCTATCTATCTATCTATCTATTTTAGTCTGTTCATATCTATCTATCTATCTATCTATCTATTTTAGTCTGTTCATATCTATCTATATATCTATCTATCTATCTATCTATCTATTTTAATCTGTTCATATCTCTCAATCTGTTTTAGTCTTTTCATATCTATCTATCTATCTGTGTGTGTGTGTGTATGTGTGTGCATGTGTGTGTGTGTGTGTGTGTGTATGTGTGTGTATGTGTGTGTGTGTGCGAGCGTGTCTGTGCGTGGGTTTCAATAATAATGTTCAGTATATTTTTGCATATCTTACTGCTCCAAGAGCGTAAAATGTCCGTATTTAATAAACTAATCATTTCTTTAATGACCCCAAATGTGGTCTTGCAATATTACTAGCAACATATCCTAAAACATATACACTCAATTTCTACAAATCTTTATGTAATTCTTCCAATTGACAACAATACGTCTCCACGTGAACAATTTATTTTTCATATGGCAATTCATGATAGTGTATAGCTTTCATATCCAACCCAATATAGAGATTATTTTTTGCCTCCAATCATGATTTTGGGATGAATTATCCTTTTACAACCAGTGCGAGTCGCTGGCATTTTCGGTTGATACGATTATTGAAAACCCATTCATCGCTACCAGTGATGCTTCTTTCGCGAATAACTTCTCTGCCAAGTCTGCTATTCAATGACAAGAGGCAAATCATTTATTAAGCTGATAAGGAATCACATGTCGACGAAACCATTGAAAAGTTCAAACAATTTTCAGAATCCATGAATGTATTTTATGATGGAATTCTTACTTGCATTGAAGTGTTTTACTGATAATCATGCAGTTGCCTTAGGGTCCAATACGATTTAAAGAAAATCAATATTAAAAGAACTTTCTCGTCCAGCAATCCCGATCAAAATTGTCCAAAGCCTTGTTGGTATATCGGGACATTTAAAGCTTCATTTCTAAAGTCAGAACGGATATTTCTTGACATTTACTCTTTCTGAGTTTATTCGACTCTCCTGTTGAATTCGTCGTATGAGGGTAAGCTGATCAGTTCCCGGGAATCGACAGCATGACAACACAAGCACATAAGATTTGATTATAATGGTGAATGTTTTGTGCAGAACCATCCATACTTTTTGAATGACCAAGTGTAGAGACCTGATGTACCACGTGCCACAAGGTCCCCAAACGACCCACCGCTGGTTTTGAAATCAGAGTTGTCCTTCTCTCAGACCAGTTGCCATTCAAGGCTATAGAACCCAGTCTGTTCTACTATTTACCCATAGCTGGAGGGAGAAGAAGAGGATTCATAACTTTCCCAAGGGTATTGTATCCTGAGCATACAAGCCATACAGTATATGATATGGATCTGAACTATTCATATTTCAAATGTGTAAGATCGTTGGAAACATAAACACTCTGATAATATGTAAACCCCTAAAAGAAATAAATTAGAGTTGTAATCATTGAAAATCTACCCTCAAAACGATCATGCCTAAAATCATACTGGACTTTTAATTTGATTTACTATTAATCAAAAATTAACACAAGACTATCAACAAGAACGAAACTCCAGTTATCATTTAACCTAGATAGATGGGAATCCATATCTTGAAAAAAAAAACCATTCCTAATTCATTAAGGTCTGTAAAAAGACGTAGCTAGATCTTTATAAATGTTGCAAAATAATGGTAAACACTGTTTTATTGTATATAAGAAATAATTTTGTTTCAATAAATACCCTATTTCTCAATATCCTGAACCCACCGTCTCTCTATTCATCACATGTTTAAAAACATTACACAGTGGAGATTTTAAATCAAAATATCAGGCTTCAGAATCAATGATCCATACGCCCGACGAATCAATTTCAAATGCAATCAGAAAAAAACAAATATGTTTGAATACTGAGGCTATTTGTTGTGCCTCAATTTCCAGCATAAAACACTTGTTTCTGATGCCATGTTCCCTCATCAATAAACCACTTGTTCCTGCTTCCATGACCACTCATCAATTGAAGTTATAATAATAATAATAATAATAATAATAATTAGTAGTAACACCACACAGGCCCAGTTACAGAGAGAGGGCCTGTAACAATTTTATATACCCACAGACAGAACAATGGAAGTCAATCGTCCTGACATCGTGACAGCAAAGACAAATTTTGCCACCCTAATGACATAGCATTCCCTGCAGAGGGCAATGTATCTTTGAAGATTCTCAAAAACTTTCAAAGGACCTTCAAATCTAAATCTAAAAACTGTGGCGCATTCCAGTTGTAGATGGAGCCTTCGGATTGATTGGAAAAGACTCTACTAGATTCATTGAAGGAATCCCTGGTAGCCGATACCTTAAACAAATACAAAATATTTGTACTGCCAAGTACAGCTAATATGTTACGAAGGGCTTTAACTATGGAAAATATGTGTGATTTCTTTTTTCAAAACTGCTCAGTGGAAAATGTTATAATGCTATTTCTGACCTTAGGTCACTGGTTGGAACCCGGAAAGAAATGAGTCTACATCAGAGAACCAAAAGAAATAATAATAATATTAATACATGATATGGATTTCGATATTAATTGGGTCGAGGGGTTAACGTTTACATTTGTTATCGAGGTGAATTACTATGGGCTAGAGTAAATGCCCCGTTCTATATCACAAATTTGTTGCCAGCTGCTTGAATTTTGGCCGTTGTGCATGGCCTGTATGTACTTACTTATGCTGTATCTCAGTTCAAAAACCTGAGCAGTGGGGGAACATCATGGTCGAATTCCGAGAAGACAGTTATTTCTAACTTTGAAGGTGGAGGTAGCCAAAGCAAATTGGTTATCACATCTAGATGTTGGGAACACCCGCAAATGGAGGTCAAAGCAGCAAACTGGGTTACTTGTCATAAAGTAAAAAAAAAAAAAAAAGATAAAGAAAAAAGTAAGCTGGAATCATCGGTGGCAATAACAGCTTACTTCTTCCGAACATAGATATCGAAATTTTCCGAATTATTCCGCTTAACCTATTTCAGTCAGTAGGGATGTGTGCTGCGATATTGCCTTAAGATATTTCCTAAAGTTCCCTCTCGGATCATCAGCCTTTTAATATCAAAAAGGCAAATTGATCATGATGAGATCGAAACCGTGTTTCATGGTTGAAAAACTAACGTTCTAATCAATCGTTCACGCGATCCTTAAACACAATAAGTACAATAGCGTTAAAATAGTTTAATAGTGAGTCAATTATTCTTGTATTTTGTGAGTGAAATTCCTGACCCAAAGTAGAAAACGAGAAAATTTTTCATAAAAATTCATTCGTGAAATTGTTAGCCATGTGGGTGGATTTCAATGATACTCTCTTCGATAAGGCCTTTGTACATCAACTGCAGTTTTCTGACGTTCATTAGCATTTCCAAAATAAACCTGTATGGCATTAGTAATAGTAACATTTTTAAAATCAGAAAAAGATCAAGTTGACTTGACGTATACACTGTAAAAGTGTGTATAGATTTTCTGAGACATCCTCCTTTTCCTCTCTGATTTTTATATATAATTATATTATTAGTAGTAGTAGTATTAGTATTATTATTGTTGTTATTATTATTATTTGTGTATGTTATGCTTTCTGCTTTGGATCCTCTAGAGCCGATTCCAAACTATGGTCCTTAAGATTATAGGAGAATAGTCAGTTAATTGATAGCACTTTTCTTCTTATATGTGATGTTCCTCGTCGTGCGACCTTCTGGACAACTTGTATGTTGATATTACCTGGCATACTATAGGTCATCTGATCTTCTCCCGTGGATATCGCGGTAGAATAGCTTAGAATCGGCTCTACAGGATACAAAGCAAGAAGTATAACATACACAAATTATAATAATAATAATAATAATAATAATAGAGTTATAAATAATAATCAAAGAGGGGAAAACATCAAGAATTCTCTTCATTTATTGCACAACTTCTGTATTTGATTGGATGATTGAACATGTGTAACGGCATATCAACATCTCTCTGGGTTATTTAATGCCGAAATCTAAATATTTTGAACGCAACTGTATGGCTTCAACTGCAGATAAAATGTTTTGTTGGCCGTTTTTCTGTATATGAAATGTATTACTGGTATTTTTACTGTGAAAATTAAATTTTATACTTTCATATTATTTTGTTTTTGGTAGGGGTTCACGTACATAGTTGTGAACCTAACAGGTTCTACCACCCCAGGCCAGGGTGGGCGTGGTGACAACAGAAATTAAGATGTGGCTCCACCCTCCTTTAAACATCTTCCAATAGTTTGATGCCGAATGTAGTTTATTGCCATAAACAGGATGAACTTCTGAATTGGGTTTGCTTAAGATTCAGTCAAATTGGAGTACCTTTTCTTTTGAACTAGTTGCTTATATAAATATGTTTACTGCTACTTCGGCTAATGCTATAAACCCGCACTGTCTATTTTTCTCTGCTTTATTTTGTCAGAGTCTTTGCGATCATGGTTCACCACAGTCTTTTAGTACTTCTAGCAAAATCTGCTCTTTTATGATTCTGTTTTGTATTTTTTTGTCCTATTTATGTCCGTCCTCGCCAGAAACATCTTTCCTTTTTTTTTTCTCTAGCATCAAAGTGGCCTGTGATTGTTAAATTCTCTCACTTTCCCCTAAAATGTTTAAATTTTAAGAATTTTAGTTGCCAAAATTGCTGGTTATTTTCCATAGATTTCTGGTGGAAAAGCAGGCACGTTTTTTTTGTTTAAAGTGCTTGATATCAAACGGTAAGTATAGTGGTTAATAGAATTAATATGGCGAAAATGTTCACCTAACTGAGTAGTGCTATTTCAGTCATTCGGACTTCGAAAATTCGGCACGGCTAAAATAAATAAGTGATAAGTTGCTCCATATTATACACACACACACACACACACATATATATATATATATATATATATATACATACATATATATATATATATATATATATATATATATATATATATATATATATATATAATACTTTGATTAACATGGGAACATTGTCTACTGTGGCCGCCGTAGAAGTTATGTTTTTTGGGCAAGATAGCTTGACAGAGCACAAGCCTCACCAGGTTGGTTTTGAATTTAGAGATTTTCC